TTTAGTTGTCCAGATCATTTCTTTCTATTTTTCAGTAGAGACGGGGTCTCGCTCTTGCTCAGGCTGGTCTTGAACTCCTGACCTTGAGTGATCCACCTGCCTCGGCCTCCCAGAGTACTAGGATTACAGGCGTGAGCCACCACGCCGGCCTAGTTGGATTGTTCTTTAAAAAATAATTATCCTTCATCAACTATTTGATTAACCCTAAAATTCAATTTATATAGGAAAGGCAGAACAAATTAAGAGAAAGATTCAATAAATTACCAATTTTCAGAATGAAAATTCAGGATTTATCAAATTTCAGAATGAGCAATTTTCAGTCCAACAACTCCCAAAAGTGACCAGTGATGTCCTTCTTTAGTATTACTAATAGTCATGCGCTTTTTATGTTTAATGTTTTAATTCATTATATTGATTATTCTTTTTGATGCCCAGTGATCTAATAGGATAGTTAGTAGGAGTCCCTTCAAGTTAGCTCCTATATCCTTTTGCTATGACCCCAGTATCTTTAATGGCTTCCTTACTTTATGGCAAGAAAAAAAAAGTAGATATCCCAGGTTTATTTCGTACATTTTCTGTCCCAGTCTTGACGAGAATCATCATTTTCTTCAAGGAGCCCTGGTGCCTTTTACTGGGAAATGCTATTTAGAAACCACAATATCTGGGTTTTAGGGGCAGTCATAGGTCTTGTTAGTAATAGAACTAGTATTTTAGCAAGAAGTAAATAAATCGTGAGTTCATACTAATATTTCAAATTCATATTTAAAATTATAATTTTAAAATTATTTTGATTTTACATTTCCTTCTCATACTACAATCTTGGTTCTTGGTGACACTGACATAATTACCCACATGTTTTATAGTACATGTATATGTGCATGCTTATCTATATATCTGTATTTATCTATATCTACATCTATAAGGCCATCGACATTGCTACTAACAGTACAGTTATGAAATACAATTTGAGGTGATTCTGTAGTTCTTTATCCTTAGGACATATCCCACTAGAAATGTATATTCAAATTACAGTATTTTAAAGTCACTTGAAATAATTCTTCTCTGTGTGATTATACCTTCAGCTTGATGTATAGTTAGGTTCATTTGTTAATTTGCTTTTGCCCATATACTTTTTAAAAAACAAAAATATAAATGAGCAAAGATAGAAAAGATAATAAGAGGGGCCAAGCATGGTGGCTCACACCTTTAATCCTAGCACTTTGGGAGGTTGAGGCGGGAGGATTGCTTGAGGCCGAAAGTTCGAGACCAGCCTGAGCAAGAGCCAGATCCCACCTCTACAAAGAGTAGAAAAATTAGCTGGCATGGTGGCATGCTCCTGTAGTCCCAGCTACTTCACAGGCTGACATGGGAGGATCACTTGAGCCCAGCAGTTTGAGGTTGCAGTGAGCTGCGATGACATCACTGCATTCTATCCCCAGAGACAGAGTGAAACCCCATCTCAAAAACAAACAAACAAACAAAAAAACCTACAAAGGATCAAATAATTTTTAGATTTACTATAGGTCATAGCATTTAGCTAATATTACTGCCTACTTATCATTTTAGAAGAAGACACAAATAGTTGATAGCTTGATGGGTGTACTTTTGAAAATAAAATAGAGAAAAAGCTAAAGTTTATTTTGTAGGATAAGAAAAACATACTCAACAAGCCAGGATTCCTTATAGCAATAGTGTTAGCTATTTATGTAATACTTATAGAAATAGCTATGGAAATACAAAAATAGTTAAGGAAAAATAAAATCTTAAGGAAATTTCCTGATCTTATATGAGGAAATATATTTAAGTATAATTATTGAGATATAATTCTCATACCATACAATTCCCCCATTTAAAGTGTATAATTCAATGGCTTTCACTATATTCATAGAGTTGTTCAGCCATTACCACAATCAATTTTAGAACATTCTTATTACTGCCCCCCAAAAACCTTTGCATCCCATAGCTGCCACACCCACACCCTCCTATTCCTCCCAGCCATAGGCAACCACTAATCTATTTCTGTGTTTATAGATTTGCCTACTCTTGACATTTCATGTAAATGAAATCAGATAGTATGTGGTTCTTTGTGACTGGCTTATTTTAATTAACATAATGTTTTCAAGGTTTATACACACTGTAATATGTAAGTACTTAATTTCTTTTTACTGCTGAATATTAATATTTCATTGTATGGATATACTACATTTTACTTATCCATTCATCAGTTATGGGTATTTAGGTTATTTCAACCTTTTGGCTCTTGATAAATAATACTATTTAGCTATAATTTCAATATAATGAAGCAATACTTTTTTATCCTTTTACTTTCCCTCATTTGTTAACCTTATTCTAAGGTAATATTATCCGATATTCCCACTTAGATACCTGTGAAAACAGATTTTTTTCAGATCTTCCATGTATCTCCTGCAAATGTCTTGCAGAGGATCTCTCTTCAGTGGGCTGGTATCCACTAAATTATCATTCCAGGAACCATTCCAGGGTTCCACACATTCTTCTATACATTTCAGAATTTCTTTATCATGAGGAGATGTGATCTGAGTACCAGTTTCCCAATAAACCTAAATAATAGGTAAATATAGCTATAATTACTTAAAATGCTTATCAGATCTTAGCTACAGTAGAGATCTTTGCCTTTATGAAGAAACATCAAATTAATCAAGTAAAAAAATGTCAACATGAGACTACTTTAATAAATTATAAAAGATATTGATGGTAATGATTCCACAAGGACTGTAATAAAATGATCACATATTATTTTCTCTTTTAGAAGTATATTTTAATAATAATACAAGTAAAATACAAGCAGGACATTATTATGACATTATAGTATGCATATACCATAGTATCCAATCATATTCTTAGATTTGTAACTATATACTAAAGATAATCTAAGAAACCATAGAATATCCCATAAAACTTGATACTATTAAACTTAACATTGTAAAGTGGTTATATGATATGGAAAAAATCATTTTTTCATCATAAAGTAGAATTTATATCACACCAAATAAATCTATATCAGGAAAGACAACATATTATTCATATACATTTCAATAAGTTTTCAGTTTGTCAAGTGGTTTGATTAATAAGACATTAGGAACAGTTACCCAAAAGGCAAGAAAATGTAATTCTTATAATTTCATAGGATTCCAAAGTTAGAAGGGACTCTGCTTAGAGAATATCTATGTTGACTTCTACCCTGTATATGACATGAATTCCTTGTATTGCTTCCTGAATGAAGGAAAGAATAATACATTTGAATATGTGCCAAACAATATGGCAAACTCATCACCCAGAAGCCCTAAACACTGGCTCAATACTGTGCTGAGTATCTGCTATTTCCCCTCCAAAGCCACTTTCACCCTTCTCTAGCTCTGCTTTCTGCCACAGAGGATGACACATCAAGTGGGTCCTGTGGCCAATGGGGAGCACCAGCAGAAGGTCAGAGGGAGAGGAGAGTGAGGTCAAGGTACTATTTCTTTGGCTCTTTCCTGAAAATGCCTATTATTCTTTAAGTTCTTGGTACAATATGACTTTATTTCTAAAATGTAGAGAGGATGGATTTGAGAAAAGATAGAGAAATCCAGGGCAATTAGAAGTAAAAGGACTAATAAAGAGACTTTTGTAATTGTACACATTGAGAAGTAGAGATACATATTCTTTGAGGGCCAGCCTCAATGTTTTTAACTTTCTGTTCCCAATGTCTGGCTCTGCTACCCACTGTAGAAAATATACTCAGCACATATTATTTGAATAAAGTAAGAACGATAAAACAAGCAAAGGTCAGGAGTCCAAGGTTTACCTTGTATCCATTGTCTTCCTTGCGGTTGTGAGATGCAGTAATCATCACACCTGCAACTGCATTGAGCTCCTGGACTGCATACGGCTGAAAAAATAGTAACGTCATGATTCCATTTTTCTTCCTAGCTACTCATACATTTGACATGAGAATAACTTTGATTAAATAACAGGAAAAGACATTATGATATAATATTGCTTTTGTTGATACCTTCTTTATTTTCTATTTACTTGATTTTTCCTCATATTTTATTTCCTTCTTTTTACTCTATTTGGATTTATTCTGTTTTAGCCCAAACATATTAAGTTAAAAGCTTAGCTCATTATTTATTTATTTATTTTTTCCCCAAGAACACAGAGTTTAATGATTCTATTCCTATGAGATGTTCAGAAAAAGCAAATCTATGGAAAAACAAAGTCGATTAGTGTTTACCTAAACCTGAGGGAAGGCATAGGGATTAACCACTCACTGGAATGAAGAAAATATTCTAAAACTGGATTATAGTGAGGGTTGCAGGAGTCACTAAATTTACTACAAATCGTTGAAGTGTACATTTAATATGGGTGATTTTTATGATATGTAAATTATACCTCAATAAAAGTCTTTAAAAAATGTTCAATGTGGTCTGGCTTTTTGATTAACCATGACATAATCCCATTTAGGAATGTTTAAATTGTGTCTACCTATAAAGAACTATGTCAGTGCTTTTCACATATTCCCATAGATCTTTTTGTTTGTTTCCATATGCCTCTTCACACCTTCTCTGGGCCTTTGCCTTAACAGCCTGCATCTGCTTAGCTCACTATTTTTAAATCTTTTTTTCCTAATATATTCATTAAGGCTACCAATTTCCCTTTAAGTAGGGCTTTAGTTATATCTCACAATTTTTGCCATTTATTGTTTTCATTATTGCTCAGTTTTAAATACATACGGGCAGTCCTTGCTTTGCACAATTCCAATGTACACGAATTTCTGATACCATGTTTTTGTTTAACAGCAGCAGTCTCCCAACAACATGTCCAAATTTCAGTTGCCATGGTATACTAACCATGAGCAAATGCCTCAAGTACACACTTGTCTGCTAGCTTCTCAGTCCACAGATCACTAGGTATATAACAGACCTATCATGATCAGTAACCAGTCATGTCACTCTTTTAGTGATTGGTCACTGAGCATCTGTTATTCAGCTCTCACACAAACAGCAAAGCAACACAAACAGCATGTAGCTAGCTGTGTTGCCTCCTTGTCTCCCAGGAATAAACCCACAAGATGGTTTACAAAAATAGATAGTTGAAAGAGAGAATTGGTCAACAAGGATGAAAGTACAGCAAAGAAACAAAAAGTAATAATAGTGGAAGGAAAATCTGAAATGCATGTAAATACAGTTATAGAAAAAACAGCTGGGAATATTGACGCTGCTACCATTCATGAGACTCTAGATATGCAACCAGGTAAGCGTAGTGAAGGTGAACATATGGATTAAATGAGGAACGAGGTTGTGATGAAAAGGACGAAAATATTCCAGAGAAAGAGACCCCAGCAAAAGGATTTCACATCAAAGGAACTCTCAGAGATAGTTCATGACACTGAAAGTAACAAAGGGTAAGATGCTGGAAGCTAATCCAAACTTATAAAGGTGTATAACATTGCCTAGGCATAGAAAAGATGCTTGCTTATATTGTAAGTTACATGACAATAAGCAAGGACTGCTCATCATATCAAACTTCCTGATAAGTTTATTTACAAAGAAATAAAACACCTTTGTTCTCAATGTTTCTAATGTTTTAAATTATAATGTACTAAAATAAATATTAGTTTCATCATTTTTTTCCTTTCCCTATATAATTTTAACCAAGAGTAAGGGTATTTTTAATATTTGGGCAAAAAAAATTTTAAAGGTCATGGAACAATTGTAATTTTTCCCATTGATTATTAAGATCACTTTGCATGGTTTTAGTTTGCACAGCTGTCTTTACAGCCCTGAACAACCATGCAAAGAAAGGACTGCCTGTAGTTTCTAATCTTCATTTATAATATTAATATCTTCCTTAATCCATTAACTATTTATGAATGTGTTTTTAAAATTCCAAACATAGGGAGTTTATGGGCTTTTTTATTTCTAATTTTATTGCATCAGGGTCTAGGTATATGGCTTGATAAGCTGTTCTATGGCATTTTTTGAACCTTTTTTTGTGACTCGGCTTAATAATAATGTATATCTTACCATCACTGAACACAATATTTTTACACACACACCCCCCAGATCAAGCCAGTTAACAGTATGTTCAAATTTATCCTTAATCATTTTTGTCTGCCTGATAATCAATTTCTGAAAGGAGAACATTAAAATATCCCACCATAACTGTGGACTTGTCAACTTTTATAGATCAAGTTCTCAGGTAGTTCAACAAATGCTTCTTGAATGAAAATTAACTCAAAGCAAAATTTGTTTTCCTTCCATTGGTCCTTCATATCACTCGAAACAGAACTATATGCATGAAAAATATCTGAATGCTAGTTCATTTAAGAAATCTTTTCAAGAGCAAACTGTATGATCACTAATACAACATACTTACTACAAAAGGTGTAGGAACATATCTTGAAAAAAGATACACAGGAACATCTTTGGCCAGCAAGACTGCAGCAGTGAGTTTAGCAAGCCTGAAAAAAAAGAGAGAAATTTCATTTAGTCCTTAGCTTACCATACTTTTTAAAAACCAATCTTTCACATAAATGTTTCATATTATAATTATTCTGAATAACAGTAGTCTAATAGAGCCAATTCCTACAATCACTGATTATTTAAGCTTCATGCTCCAACTGAAAAATTTTAAATACGATATTTTTTAAAAGGAGCTTAACAATTAATAGAATTGACATTTCAGTTTCTTTCTTTTCCTTCATTCATTTTTTTATGTCTCTTTTACTAAGAAATAAAATCTGCAGAAGGCAAAAATAATGGAAGAAAGTGAAATAAGAGACTTTGATGAACCCACTATGCCTAATTACTCCCTGAAAAAAGGTATCACTACATCATGATTAACTATTTATGAAAATACCCTAAAATTAATCAAATAGGGCTATAAGAGAATACAAGCTATATAATTACTCCTACCCAGTGCTTTCACCAAATTATGTCATTCTAAATATAAGCTCTAAATATTTTAAGATTTTACTCCTTTCTGTAAAATATAAAGCTTATCTTTGAAATGCTTTTTCTTCTATTTCAGCTCTAAAATAAATATTAGCATGTGATCACATTTCTATTTGACAGTATCCTGTTTCAGAAATCCTACTACTATACAAAAAAATTTTTTTTAATGTTTTATTCCACTCCACTTAATCTTTGAAACAATAAACACTGTACCTCTGGCTGCTGCAGCTGCTAGTTACTTGACCCCGAGTGTCGTACCCAACGACAAAGCCTCTCTGCTTGAAGTCTGAGAAACATCTCTCAAGGTATTTGTACATCCCCTGAAGCAAATAAACACAAAAGATCAGTCCTGATGAATGCTTGCATTTTATATGACTTAAAATTTCTTATTTTTGTTTGGTGTGCAGCTTATTGGCTTCTAGGAAACTAGCCTCTGTCTCTATGCCCATGTTTACAAATGTGGGTGCAGTATTGTTTAATCCACAAATGTATGACAACAAACATTCAGGGGATTTTCAGACACATTTAATACCACAGAAATACCGATTTAGTAACTAAATCAATACAATAAGACTTTAGGAAAAAAGATGCGACACAAGAGTCAGTAAGCTAAAAAAAAATTGTTAAAAGAGTCAAAAGAAATTGTTTCCTACCTCAAGGCTCTAGAGAACAGAATTTTGACCATTTTAAGCCCTTGCTAAATCATGACTGAAGCCAACCAAAAGATTTGACCTATTTATGACACAAACATTTTTAATCAGCTACATAGTTCTTTACTGGAACATTTCTTAAGATGGTTGATCCCAATTATAATGTTTTGTTTTTAAAATCTCACAGAAAAAAATCTCATAGACTAGGAAAATTTGCAGTCAAGCATGACAAAAAAATGAAATGAAGCATTTCATACTGAAAACATCACAATGATAAACTGAAACCATTTAACTATCTTATGAATGATTTGCTAACTTTAAAAAACAATCTCTAAAAAGTAACACTTCATATTACTACAGTCCTTTAAAATTATTTCCACAAAAAAGATGGGATATTTAATCCTTATAGTGACCCTGGAAAGAAAGAAATGCAGATACCATTTCTAATTTGGTCTTTTTCAATATCTCTTTAAAAAAAAGCGGGAACAGAATAAGATTAAAGCTTCATGTAATGACTTGCCCAAGGCCATTCATTCAAATAAAACTAAGTCATACTGATTTATTGAAGACCTATTATATGGCAGACACTGCTAAGTAAGTCTGTTGTAGCACGAAACAAGGCCCCAGTGACTTCCAGTGCGTGGGTCTTTCACGTGTAATTATTTTCCCCAGCCTATTCCCTATAAGAGTGAGTGTGTGTGTGTGTGTGCCTGCACCCACATGCACTTAATAGAGCCCAAATCAGCTAGTTTCAACAACTTATTTCTAATGATGATACTATCCTAAAACCTCATAAAGCCTCATATTATTATCTGTTATGAGAATACATCTTATCTTATCCCCCTGTATCTAGAGTCTGAAAAGGGCTGGGACTTAAGATCAGATTCCATCTAGTTTTCTACCCCACATAATATAATCCCAACTCCTGCAAATATTTGTACTTTTATAGAAATTGATTTTCAAACTCCTCTTCCATCCCTTTTTGTAAAGTCAAGCCATCTTCGCTTTAAATGAAAGCTTATTAGGAAACAATATGTAAGAAAATATTGAACTAAATAAAGCATCTGGTTGAGGAATAGAAAGGAGATGGGGGAGGGGTGGGGAGGGAAGGTGGCAGGTATCCTTTCCAGCCATTTTTGTCATCCCTTCTCCCCTAACCTCTGCATTAGCCCTTGGCTTTAGAGAATTCTCTCAGAACAAGGCTAAAGATGATTTGCTGTTTGGAAGTATCAGTTAGCATTATGTCTACTGAGCAATTCTCTAGCTCATAACTGTTTTTAGTATATGCTAAATGTATTATTGGCCTCAAAAATATAGTTTCTTGAAATATTGAGGATGATTCCCTGCAAATAGATGCAATTTGTTTCTAGAGTGAATTGCATAAAAATGGAGAGAAATAAATTGTATCGTATTATACAACTGTCTTAAAGAACTCTCATATAGGTATGGAAAAGCATGTTAAAGGGAAATATTTTCAACTTAATTTTCTAAATTCTCTGGTTAACCTTTATGAATGGCCATTTGCCAAAATAAGTAATCATCAAAATTTTTTTTTTTTTTTTAGAGAACAGGTCTTGTTCTGTTGCCTGTGGTGAAGTGCAGTGGCACAATCATAGCTCATTGCAGGCTTGAACTCCTGGGCTCAAGGGATCCTCCCACCTCAACCTCCCCAGTAGCAAAATAACTCTTAATTAGAAAGTTAGTCTGTGACTTTGAAGATAATATAAATGACTTCTAAGATAAATCTTGGGCAAGACCAAAGGTCAGAATTTAGTCTCCAGGACACATACATCAATGAAACAGAATGGAGAACCCAGAAATAAAGCCACATATTTACAGATAACTGATCTTTGACAAAGCCAACAAAAACATACACTGGGGAAAGGACACCCTCTTCAATAAATGGTACTGGGAAAATTGGATAGTCATATGCAGAAGAATGAAATTGGACTCCTATCTCTCACCATATGCAAAAATCAACTCAGGATGGATTAAAGACTTAAAACATAAGACCCAAAACTATACAAATACTAGATGAAAACCTAGGTAAAACTTCTAAACATTGGTGTAGGCAAAGAATTTATGACTAAGACCTCAAACACACAGGAAACAGAAACAAAAATGGACAAATAGGACTTAAACTAAAAAGCTTCTGCACAGCAAAAGAAATTAATAGAGTGAAGAGAGAATCTGTTGAAGGCGAAAATATTTGCAAACTATTCACTTGACAGGGGACTAATATCCAGAATACACAAGGAACTCAAATAACTCAACAACAAAAAACAAATAATTCCATTAAAAAGTGGGAAAAGCACATGAATAGACATTTTTCAAAAGAAAACATACAAATGGCCAATAGGTATATGAAAAAATACTCAGTATCACTAATCAACAGAGAAATGCAAATCAAACCACAGTGAAATACCTAACCCAGTCAAAATGGCTATTATTAAAAAAAATAGTAACAGATGTTGGCAAGGATGCAGAGAAAAGGGAACTCATACACTGTTGGTGGGAATGTAAATTAGTACGGTCTCTATGGAAAACAGTATGGAGACTTCTCAAAGCATTAGAAATTGAACTACCATCCAATCCAGTAATTCCACTATGGGCTATCTACACAAAGAAAAAGAAACAATATATCGAAAGATATCAGCACTCGTATGTTATGGCAGCTCTATTTACAATAGCAAAAATATGGAATCTACATAAGTGTCTATCAATGAATGAATGGATGAAGAAAATGTGGTATATGTACACAGTGGAATACTATTTGGCCATAAAAAAGAATAAAATCATGTCTTTTGTAGCAACATGGATGGAACTGGAGGTCATTATCTTAAGTGAAATAAGCCAGGCACAGAAAGACAAACATCCCATGTTCTCCCTCATAAGTGGGTGCTAAAAAATGTGTACATAGAGAGTGGAATTATAGACAATGAAGTACTCAGAAGGGTGAGGAAGTGGGAGGGGGGAGGATGATGAGAAATTGGTTAATGGGTACAATGTATGTTATTTGGATGATGAATACCCTAAAATACCCTGATTTGACCACTATGCAATCTATGTATGCAATAAAACTGCATACGTACCTCATAAATTTGTAAAAATAGAAAGAAAAAAAAAATAAAAGAATTAAATCTATAGTTTTTACTTATGTAAGAGTACCTTACTGGAAATAAGCATTTTTTTTTTTTTTTAGAAAAGCACTATCTAATTTATAAAGCAAAAAAACAGACTGAGGAAAAAGTACACTTATAATACTTTATAATACTTACCTGTGTTGACTGTATTACTGTAAGGTCATTAATATAGCAAAACCCTGCCCCCATGGCAGAACGAAGTCCTGCAGTCCCAAAAGTCATTCGGCAACAAAGACGATCACGCAGCTCCTTGTTCATCCCATTTCGTAACAGATTTTCAATCTGCTCTTTTGTTTTGGGATTCTATAAAAAAGAAGTATTAGAATTTAACTAGGATCACAAGCAGAGTCCTAATATTAAGCCTTTCTGAAGGGCCAATATGCACATATCACAGGGTTCTACATGCACTATAAATTCCACTGTGTTACTTCTTTATTTTTTTTAAGAGACAGACTCTGTATCTGTCACCTAGGCTGCAGCACAGTAGCTCAATCATGGCTCACTGAAACCCGGAACTCCTGGGCTCAAGTGATCTTTTCTGCCTCAGCCTCCTGGGTAGCTAGGACTACAGGTGTGTGCCACCATTCCCAGCTGATTTTTTAAATATTTTGTAGAGATGGGGTCTTGCTATGTTGTCCAGGCTGGTCTCCAACTGCTGGACTCAAGCAATCCTCCCTCCTTGGCCTCCCAAAGTGTTAGGATTACAAGTGTGAGCCACTGCTCCTGGCACAGTGTGACTCCTTAGTATGTATAATAAAAACTATACCTGCCACTTACTGAGTCCCCAAAGGAGCCAGATCCTATTGAGGGCAATTTACGTATCTCTAATTGTTATAGCATTTTTATAGCAGATTAAAGAATGTTCTAACAATTAGAAAATTTTATGAGCTACGAATCCAAAATAAACCTCTTAGTCAAAAATGACACCAATTAAGTTATAGCCTATATTAACTTTTAAAAGGAATATGGAAACTATTGCATAAATGCCAACAAAACATGCCTACCAACTAATTACCTACCTAAACATCTGCAATTCAAAATAACCAAATAAGCTTTACTACTCCTTAAAATCACAGAAAACCATTCAATTTATTTATCACACAAGTTGACCACAAAAAGGTCTTCTTAGGCGTCAAATACGGATTTAGTTAAGAATGAGCATAAAAATTTAATCCAAACATGGATTATGAGGCAGGGCATGTCAACATCTATTATTTTGGTATTCTGTATTTAATTGTTACATACTGTTAATTTATTTTCATAAATCTCAAGAATAAGCTATGACTAAAAATGGTCTTCACAAAAGAGTATCAGTTTTCAAATAGAAATGCAATTACAATAAGAGTAAAACTTACACAGAATTTTCCATTATTTTCTTTTTAGAAGAGTCAAATATTAAGAAAACAAAATAAAACACAACTTCTCTCTTCAAGATTAATATGAATTGAGTCCATAATAACTATTTACATCTTCTACATCTATAGTCTATACGATGATAACAAATATTCAGGATAATAAACCAACATACTTGAAAGGTGTTAAATGTTACAGTATATTTGTCCTTATAAAGACATAAAACATATTCATATATAATTTAAGCAAAATGGTTTTTTGGTTATATATATATATATAAAATTTTATATATATATAAAATCTAGACTCAAGGAGTTTTTCTGTTTTATAAATGGTACACAATAAAAAATATATAGCCTGCATAAAATATGAATAGGTATTAAGAGAAAAATTTAAACAATAACATTATCTGGGCCACTGTCATATTATTCAATATCTAACGTACCACTGGGTTTGATATAGAAGTCGAAGAGTCTTGGAAAGGGTTAACATTTAAAGATAGGCATAAGAATGGCAAAAATTGAATGGACTTTTCATGTGTAGAAGGTATATGGCACTGTCATATACTGTTAGTAGGAATGTAAATTGGGATAGTCTTTTTAGAGTGAACTTGCAGCAAGTATTAAATTTTAACCGTATGTGACTCTTGGCCCATAGATTTCTCTGTCCACAGCAATACCTTCACATGAACAAAAATTTATACTCATATAAGAATGTTCATTGCAATATATTTACTGGTAGTATTATTGTACAGATGAAATTAGAGAAGCAGCCCACTATCACTGAACTGGTACTAGAGATTTAGACAGGATGTGAACCCAGGTTAGTCTGATTCTAAAGCCTACACCATCTCACTATAAACAAACAAAATAATCGTGTAGGACAGGTTAATAAAGGGAGGGAAGGGCATGCCTTTAACCCGCATTTGGGTGAGGCAAAGACATAAAGTGTAACTATAATGTTTGTACCCTCACAAAACCCTGGAATAATAAATAAAAAAAAAAAATAATGCTTCTAATAACAATTTAACTCCAGTTATAAAGCAAAACAATACTCCTTATACGAATATAAAAATGATCTACCAGACATAAATGCTATTAGGATACTGAGTATACTCCCAATGTTTAACTGATCAGCTACTAGAGTAGGGCCTAAAAATTCCATTCCTTATTATAAACATCACAACTAGTACTAACCTAATTCCTGATTCTTGAAAGGTTTGTAAGTTAGAGACAAATAAAACTGGATAAAGAATCATGATGTGTTAGACATACAAGTAAATCTGTATGGTAAAAAGAGCTCAACAATTATGATAACAAGAATTTGAAATCTACTTTATATTCAGTTTTTTTCACTATTTAAAAGCTAGACATTAAACTAGATGCTGATGTTACAAACTTTTAAAAATATAACTTAAAAAGCTATCTACATAGTCATAATTATCATGAATTTTCCATTCAGATGATGAAATTAATATTTGTATTTTGTTGCTAAAATCTTTAAATCACTATGATTTTTATAAATATGAAAATAGAATTATAAGAAAATTATTTTTAAAATGCAATTTCCATGTAGAACTCAGATATAGTAAATGAAAAGGAAAACAGAAGAGTATATAAAGTATTTTAATTTACATATAAAGAGGTATGCATATACTTATGTATCATCTAGAAATATTCCATGCCAATGTAAGAGACTAAAAATAGTCATTACTTCTGAAGGGGATATTAAGTATGGGGTTTAAGGTAGAAAAGTGACTTATTTTTATTGTTTAGCCCAGGTCCTGTTTGGATATTTTACATATATATTACTTTTGTGTATGGTAAAAACTAGTTAGGTATTCATGATAGCTGAGAAAAATTACTACTTGTGTGTCTATGTGAATTTTTTTTTACTTCACAAATTGTTCTCCTTTTTCCACCCAGAGAAAGCTATTCATAAGATCTGAATCTACGAAACTTATATTGGAGCTTTCTTAAATAGAAATTATTATTTGCTTTCTAAATCTCCTCTTTTATTTATAATTTTGTCATTACTTGAGGGTAGAAGCTTGGTCAGCTGAAAAAAAAAAAAGAAAAACAATTGTTCAACTCATGGTAATTATTAGAAAAAACACCTCTAATTACACCATTACAATTTAAGTCAGTAGAAGAGTTATTTGATTTACCTACTTTTCAGAAATATACCTAATGACCTATTATATAAAATGAAAATTATTTAGAAAGTGCATTCAATCTGAATTAAATTTGCTCTTAACTAGTATAACTTAGAATCCCAATAATTATAGTATCACAAAAAAGTAATCCTGCAGAAAATCCAGAGATTTTAGTGACTACTAGCATTTTCTATACCTCATCAGTTATAAAGCTAATTGTTTAGTATGAAATCAGTAAGCTACAGAATATAGAATACAGAATAAAGCCATGCATTATTTTTAAATTTTACCTGTATACCAAAAATTTTCCTTTAGGTTCTAATCCTATGGATTGCTGCAACTTTACATGGCTGAAATGAAGAAAAGAAAGTGTCTTCTTACATAATACTCATGGAGATTTTTTCCATATCGTAGACCATAAGGCCCAAATTCAAAGAAAACATGAAAGAACTGATCTTAAAAAAACACGTTAAGTATATATTAACAGAAGTGCTTTTAACAAACTTGACTTCTTACAAACTTTCATAGATATGAAGAAAGCTACACACCAGATCAAAATCACACCAACTCTGTCTGCCTCAAATGAAAGTATTAGCATTCACTTATAAAGGATCATTTTCGATTCACTTAGGTTTTTCTGAACCTATTATAATTAGGGACTTCTGTATTATTTATGCGTAATAAATATAAATGTGTATAAAAGTATGTTTAAAAAAGTAATCAAATTTACCAATGAGGAGTTTACCTATAAATATTCTTTCCTGCTTATTTTATAAACCTAATATTTTAATAACTCTTATACAACTATAAACATTTTAAAAATGTTATTGACAGAGACTTGTGTCTAAACAATAAATAACAGTTTTATATAACTACAGAGAAAAAAAATTTTTAGTTTATTTCTAAACAGAAGTTAAAATAGGAAACTGCAACCTGAAAATCTGAAGGGTAAACATAGCTGACATTTACTTCTGAGGGTCAGCCAGCTTGAAGATCCAAATGTAGAGTCCAGGAGCAGGACAGGTTTTCCAAGTCAGATGTTTCCTTATTAAGTTCAAAATATATTAATGTTAAACCAATTATTTCTTTCCCATTTAAAGGATTTTTGTGTAATTCTAAATCTAATTTCCCTACCTTTAAAAACTTGGTAAAAATTAGCATAAATTACGTTGGCTTAGATAAAAGGTTTGAATGTACTTGTCATATAAAATGAGATTTACTTGAATAATAATTGCTTAATGAATACAAAAATCATATCTAGGAAATGAAGATGCTAACTACCCCAAAAGTAAAAGATAAGCTTTGAAATATAACAAGTTATTATAAGAATAATATTAGATATGACAAGATTTGTGTGAATGATTAAAATAAAAATGTTAACTTTATTTCAAAACTTAAGACCATATAGACCTCATCTTTAAAAAAAAAAAGCTTTACAGGTTTTACCCAGACATGATTATGTGAGGTACTAAGAATAAAAAGTTCAAGGGCTCTAGTCAGTAGCATCAATAAATGCTTTATGACCTAAAACAGGTAATTTCACTCTAGTATCCTTGCCTATAAAAAATAAGAATAATATTCTACTCTTCTTCCTCAGCACATAGCTAGAATATATTTTCCAGGCTCCCTTGGAGCTAAATGAGACCACGTGAGAGAGTTCTGGTCACTGGATAAGAGAGGAAGAGATGTGCGCCACTTCCAGGCCTAGCCCATAAAACCCTCCCCCCGATTCTCTTTCCCCATCTACCCACTAAACGGAGAGGACTATAAGGACCTAGAGGAGTATGTAGCAACA